GCGTTCCATGTCGTGCCACCCTGTGAGGTGAGAGGTCACCTCGCGGCGGCGACTAGGCCGCCTTTGCCACGACCTTGTCTTTCAGCGCCGCGCCCTTGCTCAGCACCTTGTCAATTACCTCTTGATTCTTCAGCAGAATCGGCTTCAATACCTGTGGAAGTGGGAGGAGGTCATCGGAAGTGTGCCGCAACGTGGATGGGTAGGTTAGGCTGGGAGCCTTGTAGACAAGTTTGGAGCCGCCCAGCGCGAGGAAGACGGTCGTTCCCAGTAGTACCTCGCCCCAGAACGGGATGAAGAAGAAGACGTTGCTGAACCTGCCGCCGGATGCGATAGCTGGTCAGGGCTCTTCTCGCCCACCCCTGCGGCTATGCGGGAGGTGGGGCTGTACAGGGATCCCGCAAAGTTGACAAAGGAGTAGGCGAACCAGAACGTGAGCCACTTGACGTCGTCGTCGTGGTCACCACGACTCTCCAGCGCCTATGGCAGACGAGCCTCCCAGCTTTCCACTCTGGCAGTTGCATGCGCACAACAGTGCGTCTGGCGGGGTGCCTGAGGTGGGCAAGGTGAAACTCTCCCCATGCCGGAGGTGCGCAATGGCTAGACCATTTGTCACGTTCCAGCTCAGAGACAGCAGGGGGCAGAGCATGCACAGAGTAGGGCCACGTGGAGACGGGCTGCAGTGCTAGCCGTGTGTGCGGCGTTCACCTTAAACGAGAGGTACCCACAGACCAGCAGGACGGCGTTGGTCGCGAGCTCGACCACCACCCCCGGCAGCAGCGAAGGGGTCGGCTCGGGCGTGCCAAATACGTAGTCGAAGGGCCACATCGGTGTGCGTCTAGAGGTCGAGGTAGTCGCCGACGGGCCGATCAGGTTGGATGGATTGTTGCCGCTTTTACCTTTTACCGCGCGGTTTGATGCTACCCGCCCGCCGATGCGCATCTTTAGTCAGGGGCGCGGGGCGGGGCGGTGAGCAGCCAGCGACTACCAGGCAGCCATACAAGTACTTTTCTCCCAGTAAGCTAAAAGTGCGTACAAGAAGAAGCCCAGAATCACGTCAAAATACACAAACCAAGCGCCACGCATGCCACAAACCGCACGATCCGACATCCCCTAAGCTCACGAAGACACCAACCCACAAAAACAGCCTCCCGCTCCGACCTCACAACCTCCGAGTCCGGGAGAGCTGGAACACATAATCACATCGCAAGACAAGCCAATGTACCAGGCCGCAGCGCAACCTCCACCGCCCGAGCTGCGTCGCGCCCTTCCAGGCTTGCTACCAGGACGCGACCCACATCACCGCCGAGGAAGCGGCGGGACACGTCGTCCACCTCGCCATCAGCCGCGACGTCGACGGCGCCGGCCCCGAATCGCGCTACTTCCACCTCAGCGCCCCGTGCCGCTCAGACCCGCTCACGTACGACCGCGACGTGCGCGACGCCTTTTGGAAGCTGACCCTAAAGGCACTCGACGGCTGGATGGACAAGAATGCCAAGGCGTGCGCAGCGGTTCTCCAGGAGCTGTACGATCGCCCGTAAGCCTCGTGTGCGCGAGCTCTCTGGACTCAAAGGGGGGGGGGGGGGGGAACCCGCTGAAAAAAATGTTTGAGGCCGTGGGGGGGGTTCTTTCGCGTCTCCCGCCCTGGTTCGGCTAACTGACAAGGGGCTGAAACTGCCACCCTCCCAGCCCTGGGCTTTACCGCCGCGAAACCGCCCTGCCGAAATACC